ACTAGTGGACCCAGAAAGCAGGCCACACCTACAGAAGAGGTTCCAAAATTTTTTGAAACCCACCACTGGTCCTTGGATATGATTATTCTACACTATCATGCTCATGCTTCTGTGAAAGGTAAGGATGACTACTGCGTTTGTGGTGCAATCAGAACATTGCGTGTGTTGAAGTTGTTTTAACGCAAACCAAAGATGCCTTTTAAAAAACAAGTTTACATCATATTCTTATGCATGCCAGTGCTGGGTGTGAGGTAATTTAAGGTGGTTCTGACAAGTGTCGTCGGCATTTTCATATCCATGGTCACATGGGCGGCAAGCCACTCCCATCCGGTCACATGGGCGGCAAGCCACTCCCACAAAGGAGGCCACAGCCACAGAGTAGATTCGAACAATATTTGAAACCCACCACTGCCCTGAAGCCCCCGGAGGACAAAGAACGACCCTACAAGCAAACCAGAAGTGAATTCCGGTTTGCTCATAGGGTGTTTTTTAGTTCTCCGGAGCCTTCAGAGAAGCCTCCTGAGGGCTTCTGAACAATCCGGAGGGCTAAAATCAGCCCTACAAGCAACCCGGAAGCTGGGGCGGGTGGACGGGCCTATCCGCAGGTCACCCAAACCAGTCCGAACCGGCTGAATACCTTCTCCTATTGGTATCTTATGATTATACCACATTACTTTGTTGTTTGTATGTCCACTGAAAGCTTCTGCATCGGAGACAAATTGCTTGTATGTCCAATCACACTTGGCCCATAAAAAAATATTTTACATTCTGTATTCTACTAGCAAAGTTTCCCATATTGAATACCGACATAGATTTTCCAATGGCCCTATTGGGTCTTTTTATTTTTTGAAACGGATACCTACTCGCAGTTCAGATAGTCCTCAACTTACAGGTAGTCCTCATTTAGTGACTGTTACAACGGCACTGGAAAAAGGGACTTACGACTGTTTTTCACACTTACGACCATTGCAGCATCCCCATGCTCCCGCAATCAAACCTCAGATACTTGAATTTTGCAAAAAAAACTCATATTTATGATGGTTGGAGTGTCCCAGGAGCATGTGATCATTTTTTGTGACCTTCTGACAAGCAAAGTCATAAGGAAGCTGGATTCATTTAACAACGGGGTTGTTAATGTAAAAGCTGCAGTGATTCACTTAACCACTGTGACAAGAAAGGTCATAAAATGGGGCAAAACACACTTAATAACTGTCTCGCTTAGCAACAGAAATTTTGGGCTCAACTGTCATCGTATGTTGAGGACTGCCTGTATATAATTTTATTTATCAAAGAATTTGACCAACTATTTATCTGTTGTTAAAAAACAGATGAGCCCGACAGCAAAAACTAGCTTTGAAACTTCCCAGTTAATACTTATCACCTGCATTGATGTATTTATTGTTTAAATGTTTATTGCTTTGAGCCTGGTTACTGGATGGGACAATGTTCAATTTTTTTTTACACGAGAGTAGCGTTGAAGTCCTAATAAGTAACAACAAGAAGAAGCTTCTTGGATGAGAAGCAAAATGCCTTCAGAGAAAAACCAGAAAGTCCAATTGCCTCTCAAAAAAAAAAAGCATCTTTGGGCAGGTTGCTACAGGTTCGCCTGGGTTCGGGAGAACCCGTAGCTAACGTTATGACTGGATCGTAGAACCTCCAAATCCCACCCCTGGCTGGCCCCGCCCACCCCTCCCCTCCCAGGAGTCTCTACGCGGCCCATTTTGGATGTGAGGTAAATGCAGGGCCCACGCGGAGGCTCGGGGAAGGGGGAAAACGGGCCTCCCAGAAGACCTCTGGAGCCTGGGGGAGGCAGTTTTTGTCCTCCCAGAGGCTCGAGGAAAGCGAAAACACCCCCACCCCACCCTATCGTGGTGCAGGATGCTGACTAGGCCATGGCCACACCCACCCAGCAACTGGGCAGAGAACCCGTTGCTGAAATGTTTGAAGCCCGCCCCTGCCTTTGGGACCCTAACAAGGAAATAAATAAATACCCTGCAATTGGCATGTACCAACCTTTCTTCCGGCAGTCCAGGGTTTTTACCGGAAACACATACGTGTGACAAAGCGAAGAGTCAAATTCAGGCCTGGCAATTTCAGGTTTGGGCGCTGGGGGTAAATCTGCTTTGTCGCCACCGCAGAACTGTTCGACTTGTATCTCCTTGAGCTTTCGGCCTTTCACTTCTTCCGGTTGGACGCACTTGGCGTAATTCGCCAAGTTCCTGTTCCTTGGAAGCTGCAGCGTCGTGACGAGCGATTCCATCTGACAGTCGCAGTGCCAGGGGTTGTCGTACAGACGCAAGTAACTCAAGAGGGGCATGTAGATGAACACCTCCTCCGACAAAACCTTGAGTTTGTTGTGCTGTAGCAACAGCGTGGTGAGTTTGTTCAAACCCCAGAACGCCTGATCCTCGATTTTCGATATCTGGTTCTGTTGCAAGTCGAGGCTTTTCAGTTTTTGGAATTTGGAGAACATGTTGCTCTTCAGTTTACGGAATGAGTTTTGAGCTAACAGCATGTGCTTTAAATCGTCCGGCCACTCGGGCAGGACAAAAGTCAGTTTCCTTCCTTGACAATCTAAATATTTCTCAAACTGGTAAGTGTAGATGTCGCACGGAGGGTTTGGGGTAAAGCGCTTCACTAGGCCAGATGCTTTTCCTACGCGGCCCATCCTCGCGCTATTTCCTTTCTTCCTCGAATTTCCATTTCTTGCTTTCCTGAAATCAGCTGCTTGACTGAAGAAAAGTAATATTATAATAGTAACCACTTGCATCCTGACATCCAGCTGGCCCCCAATTGCTTTATACGACAGCTGGAAGAGTGCAAGGCTGTTCCTTTGAAATCTGACTTCCGAGATTCTGTGTGAAGGAGGCACAACTGGGGTATACGAAATTTCTCTGTTAGGGGGGAACAAATGCAGAATATTATAAAGATGCTGAGGTGAAGGTTGACAGGAGAAATTGAAACCAAAAGTATAGCTATGACATCCAGCATAATGAATGCAGGATCGTGACTTTAAGGGGGAGTTCTGGTCACCACAATGCAAAAACAGATGTTTAGAAAGTGTGCAGAGTAGAGCTATGAAGAAGATAAGGAGCCTGGAGGCTAAATCGTATGACGATTGGTTGAGGGAATTAATTAGGCATGTCTAGTCTTAACAAAGAGAAGGACCAGGAGTGATATAACGGCACTCTTCCAGTATTTGAAGGGCTGTCATGGCGTGACCCGACAAATGCGTGTAAGACAATAGTGCGCCGACAAAACCGCGGCGAGGACACCGCGATGTCATAAACGCGCCCACAACGCGCCGACAAAAGCACAATTTAAGGTAAGGTAAGGGTTAGGGTTATTACGTTGTTTTCGTTGTTTTTTTATGACACGCTTTCATCGGCGGGCATTTGTCAGTGCGCTTCTGTGCGCATTCGTCGGCGCGATTTCGACCTCGCGGTTTTCTCGGCACGGTTTTGTTGGTGCGCTTTTGTCGAGCGCGCATTTGTCAGTGAACCCTGTCGTGGAGAAGATGCCGTGGCTCAGTGGCTAAGACGCTGAGCTTGTCGATCAGAAAGGTCGGCGGTTCGAATCCCTAGTGCCACGTAACGGAATGAGCTCCCGTGACTTGTCCCAGCTTCTGTCAACCTAGCAGTTCGAAAGCACGTAAAAGATGCAAGTAGAAAAATAGGGACCACCTTTGGTGGGAAGATAACAGCGTTCCGTGTGCCTTCGGCGTTTAGTCATGCCGGCCACATGACTACGGAGACGTCTTCAGACAGCACTGGCTCTTCGGCTTTAAAACGGAGATGAGCACCGCTCCCTAGAGTCAGGAACGACTACCACATATGAGCGAGGGAAACCTTTATCTGACGTAGTGAAGAGGGAACAGACTTAAAGCACCTGAGGGCCAGAGAAGGCGGAACAGGAAGAATTTCTGCTTCTTAAAAGAGAGATCCAATCTAAAACGAAGACAGTGAGAGCAATTTGTTGTGAGTTGTGAGTTCTCCATCGCAGGAGGTTTTCCGGAAAAGATTGGACAACCATTTATCGAGGATAGGAATATGGTCTCCTGCCTTGAGCAGGGGGTTGGACTAGAAGACCTCCAAGGTCCCTTCCAGCCCTCTGGTTCCATGACGCCTTAGTTTAACGGCTCTACTTTATACTTCAAATTCCATTTATAAAAAACGTGACAGTGCAAATGACATAACCAAAATGTGTGTATACATTAGGAAATAACAGATGAGCTCATGCCACATGTATTATGATCAATCAATCATTCATTTTCCCTGCAGTGAATCATAACCGGAATGGTCTTCCACTGGGATCATATAAAACATTTCTAGAATTAAAACATTACATATGTTTTCCATTGCTCCTGGCGTCACATATGTGTCACCCCCAGTGCTCAGAGCTAAGATGGCAGCTAGCTGCAATGCAATCATGATTGATTGATTTACCAAATTTACATGGCTGCTCAAATGGTAATGACTCTGGGTGCCGCAGAAGTTAAAAATACACCCAAATATAATAAAAGTTAAAAAATGGTAATAAATGTTTGGACAATTGCTGAGGACTGTATGTATTATATAACTTAACATTCTCTCAGAAGGCATATATATAGGTGTGTGTGTGTGTGTGTGTGTTGCATTTGTGCTGATAAATAAATAAAGGGAGACTGCTATAGATCGATTTCAAGCTATTTAGCTCTCATCAGCTAGCCATACCCTTACTGGGATTTGAACCTGTGTATTACATATTAGGCAGTTATGTTAGCCACTAACACAATGTATGCATGTGTATGTATTTAAGAAGAGATTGGATAACCATTTTGTCTAAAGTGGTTTAGGGTTTCCTGCCTAAGCTGGGGGTTGGACTAGAAGACCTCCAAGGCCCCTTCCAACTCTGTTATTCTACTCTACTCTACTCTACTCTACTCTACTCTACTCTACTCTAC